GTATGGGCTTGTGTGTGTGTGTGGATAAGTGGGGAACATTGTAAGTGAATTGTGCACTGAGCTGTGAACCCGGTGACCTGGGTATAATTCCCAGCCATGCACATCAGTCGCAAGTGAGTATATAAGAACCTGTCATGGGCCTCCCCTATGTCGACTCAGCCTTAAAAGGAGTACTTTGTGCAGCGTAAATATCACCACTTGGGAGATAAAGGCGGGCAGGTGTGACCTGACAATACCACCTTTCACATACATCAGTTCTGAGTCAAACTTGATCGGTGTTTGCTAACAACACTTGTCTCCACGGTCTATGAAGGTTATGCAGACGATCTTTGTGTGCGTTGTTGTGTGCACAACCACTGTGGTGACGTCATCACCACTTTGTAGTGAATGGCGACTTGTGTATGTGTGCATCAGCTTCATCATCATCAGCAACAGAAGCATCGTTGTCCTCATTTTTGTCATCAGCAACAGAAACAACACTGTCATCAACATCACCAGTATAATTGTTGTTTGTGTAGAAATCCATTTGCGCTTTGCTTTTGCACCTGCTTGTACGTGCATGCGTGTCTCATGAAAGGCAGCCCTATTGGTCAGCTCAGCCCGTCGGCGGGGCTAGCGTGATGATGTCAGGACGCACGGAATTAGTTCCCTTGGCACTCCCCCAGCTGCTGATTGGCTGCCAGATGGGGAACAGTTTTATTATTGTGGCCACCAGAATTTGGAGGAATCGAAATATACAGCATTTCTGCCATTGAGTACAACTCCAGAAACCTCCACAATTCAAGAAGGATCAACACAGCCCACGATCTCAACATGTAAGACCATAATCTGCCCATAATACCGATTTATGAAACCCTTGGCCTTCATTATGGTACCACACAAGATACATTTACGAACAACTTGAAGATAAAACCGAGTATATTCGAGGCGGTAACCGAGAATGTTCATTTAGGTGACAAGAAGTGAACCAGAAGTCGGGCATAGCGATGGACTCGCGGACCCGTACAAAATAAATCCGGTCAGTTTTTATCAACAAAATTGAAACAATGGGTGAAACGTGGGTCCAGAATATTGATCTTAAAACCAGAGTTCAGTGGAACCCCAACAACAAAAAATGTAACTTATATTTTGGGCTGGGATGCAGATGGAGTCAGTGATTTTGGACTATGGAGGAAGTGTGTCGGCCTAACCACAACACTATTCAATGACGTCAAAGTACAATGTCGAGGAAAATTGCGATGGAGTGCACCGTTTCATTCGGGAAACATCCCCACGTTCACACGTCCTGAATTGGCACAGCTGCCGATTGTAAAGCCAGATTCGAGTTGGTCAATCACATACTCACCACCCTTGGCTTCCCAGTGGCTACCACATCTTTCAGCTGTTAAAGAGATACTTCGGAAGAAAAAGATTTTCTAACACTAGTGAAGTCGGTGCTCTGAATGTATGTTTTGAGAATCTGGCATCAATGTCTTGGATTATATTATCAGTGGACAAAGTGCACTTTAGCAGAGAAGCAATGCACGAGAAATCTCCTTGTCCAACATGCTTACATTGTATGTTTAATTATCTTTGAATGGAATTGACCATCGACGAATAGAAGTCCCTTCTCAAGGTAGAAAACACATTTATATAGGAAGCAAAGTAATTAATGAAGAATACAGTGAATATTAGGATCGCCTTAAAATGCACGACAACGGGTGTTGCAAACAGCTCCGTGACTCCACGCATTCAGAGCTGTGGACAGCTTTAATGGCAGCGCCATTGATGTTCCCTTGATCTTAATTCACATGCGTTCTATTACCTGATCATCTAGAGCCAACCAGCCAATCTCATTTGTCCTGTAACCTTGTATGCATGTATGTTGAACTTCTTTCACACTCTACGAAGCCAACCATACGATAAGTATCGGAGGTGCAGGGGAAGGACAACGAACTTAACACAAAAAACATTTCCATGGTCATTCTGGTTCCCATGAGACCACCTCGCAAGCTTACAGTGATCAACATGCGATCAATGTAAGCTTACACGCACATGCTTTCCATACGGCATAAAGATGGATTTAGCTAAGCGTTTGAGTGGCTATTGCCAATTTGAACCATTTTCATAATATGAAAATAGCCGCTAATCTCCTAATCTTCCTACGTGGAGGAGCACGGGATTCCTTGGTTTGGGAAAAAAATACAACCTTCAGATTATGGCCTCATCTTGAGTGTAATATGTGTGAGGTCCCCAATATGGCCAACTCCTAAACTTTAATACAGAAGCGCACGATTTTGTTCTGAGAGTTTTTTTCTGACAGCTGGATCCAATTGTGTTTTAAAGAATTTGCCGTGTCTTTATGCTTAAACACCAGCTTTTTTAAGGTTATTGGGAACTACATTTTCAATGGATAAAATTGTACTTTGATCGTCGGGTACAGATACGGTGTAACATCGCCAAAATGCGAAAGCCTCGATTTAAACAGAGTAACACAACTTGGGTCAACTCAGGGTTTTGTGATCGCTGAGTATTTTACAGCTACAATATTTTTTTACATTTCACGCTGTCTTCAAGGTCACATAGAAGGTAATTAATGTAATTTCCTAAAGTTTGAATATTAATCTCTTTGCCTATGGCCGAGCTTTGAAATGTTGTACTTAGGAGTTTTCGGGGATATATCAGAATGCTACTTTTTAAATTTCATCTCATTTTCAGGGTTATGTTTTTGTACGGAAAACGAGGTTCTCAGTGGTTATTGTGATAGCCGAGGCCAATACAATAAAAATGTAAACCTACAGCCTCGCCTTCAAGGCAAATACAACGTGACTATGTCGTACAATAACACATTAATAGAAGAATATTTATTTTTTATACATTCTCATATAAACAGATGTATCTATACAATGATAGGCTCCACACCTAACTCCGCTACTTGAATCTTGCAGTGAAAACCTCAGCTGGATGCTTCTCAGAACTATGACATTGATAAATGTAGAAATATGCATGTTGGTTTTTTTAAAAGTAAATTTTAGTTTACAGGCCTATTTATATATCTGGGCAAAGTACTTATTAATGCTGCATGCTGGCACGATGTCAATCAATTGTGTGAAGTGCGTGAGGGATGGGGTGGGTTGAGGACGAGGCAGGGGCTGCTCAAGACACTCGGGTTAATCGTCAAATTCCATTTGTGATCTCTTTACTATTCATAAGTACGCACCTGCTGTTATGCCAAGGGCAGAGTGTGCGATGACGTCACACGCACTCGTGACGTTGCGCGTTTTGTCGTGAATGTTCACGACGTGGTTGTCACGTTCGGAGAACGACATTCGGTGGCTTAGAAGCAGATTTCAAGACTGGCATGTCGCGATGATCGCCTTGCCCTACTGTGGCTGCTGAATCCAAAGGATCGCCTTCACTGAGACCTTTACGAGGCCTTATCACTACAAACGATTGATCCCATTGGTCATTAAAACACAACCGTGCAGTTTCTCTCGAGTGATTGCAGTGGTGATTGGTTCCAAAGACAAAACCGTTTTTTTTTTTTACAAAGGAAATAAAATTTTCCTTGATAAAATTCGGCATAAACAAAGCCTAGTTAAGACTCAATTTGTATTAATATTAATTGCAAGCATATCCACAGACAAGTGCAATCATTTGAACATTCACCTACAATAACTTTTGTGTTGGAGCTGTATGCGTTCATTGGTTCAAAGGGAAGACTTGAAATCGGAATGAAGATTTTAGGTCAAACGCCAGGTGATGTCATACACTTATTGACTCATAAAGTAATTTAATACATTTCAACATATAAATGTGAAATGTATGCAAGGAGTGTTGTTGAAATCAAAATCTATTCTGACTTTTCTACACTGCAGTTTGACTCTTTATTGCAAGAGCACACATTCTCCGTTCTTCCACTCCCCGGGTAAAAATACAACCCCTTAAAATCTTGTGTCGTCGTCGGGATTAAATAAAATAAATAGCAATTAAATACAGCCAATACAAAAGGTAATTTAAAGGGGGTGATCCAAAAAAGATAATTTGAGAGACATTTGAATATTTATCCGTGGCCTTTTGCACGTGTGGTTTTTTTGGTGGAGAATGACAATTTTTTTTTTGCTTTTTGAAAATAGATCTCCATGTTTGGCATCAACCGTAATACGGGGGGCTTTATAGTGACTCGGTGAAAACCCAAGCCTGTGTAGCACCTCATGTTCAGGACCGAGTTGCATTGCGGAGAATTAGCCGTTCTTAAATTTCCAGCATTTTAAACACGTTCCTGATTAAAGAGAATCACAAACTTTTATGGTCAGGCGTTTTCAAAGTTTCCGAGTCAAAATGTTTGGGTCAGTCAATGGCTGTCATAACCTTTTATTAAATGATTTTATACTTCATGCACCTTGCAATAAAATAAAGCATGAGACGCACACACAATGCGCTTTGGGAAGTAGATCACCTCATCTCCATAATGAGGTTTGGGGAGGAAGATTTCAACAGATTAGAGAGTGTTCCATCCCCCCACCAACCCCTCCATCATCCCCCCACCCACCGACCAACCCCCACCCTCCGGGTGGTTTTCCGGCTTAAGCTCCGTTTTTGAGCGTTTCTTTGCTCAAGCTTTCCCCACTAACTACTGTTGGCATCTTCACGAGTTGCCCGCAGTAGTGTGTGGCTAAAGCTTTGAGAGTAGAAATTCTAATGGACGGGCAAGCCCGGAAAACCACAATTGGCGAATATACGCGGCTGCGAAACCGTCGGCGTTGCCACTTTTGCCCTCGTGGATTTTTCTCCAGGTCCTCCGGTTTTTCCCTCCACATTTAGAATCAACGCGCGTTTAGAGTATTTGGCTGCTATAAATCTCCACGTGATAAGCCACTTCGTTGAGCTATCATTTGTGGCCAGGTCGCTTCTGAAAAAAAGAGCTATTATAGCTTAGTGGGCCTTACCTGGTACAATTTAAAAAAATGTTTAGAGGAGAAGAGTATGGTGGTGCCGCTCCATGTGTGGGTCTTGCTTACCCTTAGCACGGAGTCCCCTTGCTCTCTGCAGTGACGTCCATGCCGTGTCATGAGCAGGATCTGCGTACGATGCAGCTCAGCACATCCCCATGCTGTGGACAATAACAAAAGCCCACATCACGCGTGACGGAGCAACACCAAACAGTTATGACGTTCACAACGTCACTGACCAAATAAGATCTCCGTGCTTCCCGATTTTTAACGCCCACCCGTTCGCATGATGTTTGTCAATTCTGTGGTTGAAAACATAACATGAAAAAATATATATAAAATAAACCAAATTTACAGACAAAGTCACGTGGGGTATATTTTCCTGTGAGGTTATTTTATGACACCGTGTGATGCAATGCATGGCAGACGTGTTGGACTTCCCCTGGCACGTGATATCTGGATGAGGACATGCTTTCATTTCGTGTACGGGTTTTCCGGCATGAACAGCAAGTAACCAGTACAGGTAAAAGCAGCTGAACGATCAAAAACAACGCTTCACAACCACGTGCATCACATACGTGCAAACCGCCTTTTACTGACTTAGCAAAACCTCCAAAAACCACACAACATTATCCAAGGCAGAATGTCTTCATCATTATCAAACAACGATTGCACAAAGAGACATGGTTTAAATGTTTTCATTCCCGCCTTGGGGAACTACTTTCTTGGGTCTTCATCTTCCGGCTCAGTTGATGCCAACTTCTCTCCTCCCTCATAGAGGGACGTGAACCCAAAGGGGAGCGGTAAGCTCTGCCTTTATCCTTACCCTATATTTACACATCGTTTCCCTTTTGGCACCTGTTTCCAAACTCTTATTAAGTTCATGAATGTTCATGTTGCGGAGCTCTCCTGCTCGCCGTTCCTCTTGCCCGTGTTGACAGGTGTGTCCTCTTGGGGAGTTTTATAGGTGGCCCTCTGGATGTGTTCCTCGAGAGTCACTTGTCATCTTGGGCCCTGCTCTGTGTGTGTTTCTCAGCCCCCAGAAAGGTCCCAGCCCTCGGCAAGGCCTTCCCCTGCAGCTCCCAAAGGCACTGGAACGTGCATGCGCGTTGAACTTCTTTCGCACCGTACGTAGCCAACCGTGCTAATCGGAGGTGCAACGTGTGCTGCCTTGGAGGCATACAGTTGATCAAGGGCCCTGACATCCGAGGCAGCTCACGTGGGCTCGCTGGCTCTGCTCGGGCAGTTTCATGCTGACGTTTTGATTTTCTTCCGGGCGCTCGGGCCCACCGAGCTTTTGCACCGTGTCCCAATCCGTTGCGAGCCTCTGGCTACCGGGGGCTCTCTGTGGCCTCTGCAACGGCGTTCCGCGTTTGTTGTGTTCTGAGAACTGACATTTGGCGCCGCTGCAGCAGCCTCAAAACCAGTGCCTTGTACCGCTGCGGCCTAGGGGCCGGTATTTCACACCGACCCAGTTTCGTTAGTATTCCGTGCTGCTGCGCCCTCAGTGTCATTGACTTTTCTATCGGTTGGCTCTCACCGGAAATTAGCTTAATGATGGGGAGTCTGCCGCACGGTAGAGTATAACGTTCGAAACTGAAGCTGCGTATCGGTGGTCGGGCAGAGCCACTGGTAGGAGGCTAATTTAATATTCTAATCTCTCCTGTAAAGAACCATGCTGTGAACAATGGCAACCCAACCAACATGGAAACCACTCCCTTGTGGCTTTGCCGTGTACACAGCCTGGTACGAGTGCCACGGTGTTGTCACCACCACTGTGGTGATTCGAGTCCTGCTTCTTTTTCCTGCATTCTCCCACCGGATGCACTGGGGATAGAGGCAGCGTCACCCTCTCCCCAATGTCAAAACATTCTGTCCAAATACAACCTAATCCATAAACACCTGAATATTTTGTAAAAATGTAATCCTCTACAATGAGTGTTTTGTCTAAGCCACTTTGTGTTCATCATAATTTGATGGTCTGCATTATTGATATTCTTAATCTTAAAACGTGTCACTAATATTCGCCTTCTCTCAGAGGTCACTTCACCTAATTAGCATTATTTTATAAATATGCGTGCAAAACCGGAAAGCCTGGCTGTCATCTGTAAATTTAACACCATTTTTTGGGTCTTAACTAATGTGTGTTCCTTATTCAAACACATTTTACCTCCACCGTCCAACTTCTCATAGCCTTGACAATGTTGTCATTCATTGTGTGGTGCCTTGACACATCCCCCCTTAACAATATAATTTCCAAATATCTCACGATGAATTTTTCTACAAATGTTCGCATTCACTGTTCACCGCAGCATTAGCCGCGTTGTGACTGTGCAGTAACGCAGTGGTTAGCGCCACCGCCCTTTGAACCCATCATGGCTAACATCAGTGGGAAGCGAGATCTGAGCCGGTCCCTTACCCCCCTGCATCACCAAAATGCACCGAGCAGCATGGTGAACCATGGTCTAACAACGATGACAGTGCATGTGAAAACATCTCAATATAACGCCTCTTTATATCATCATCAACATCTCCAGCTCCTGTTTCTTGCTTCACACGTAACTTTATGATGCGTGACAAATACTTCATTTGTTATAATTCTAATCTGTATTTGTAAGACGATGAAGCCATTCAATACGTCCACGTTTTAGGGTAGGCCTAGTTAGAGATACCCGCTAAAAAATAAAAGTGTGCTCTGTTTTGCACCACAAGACAACAATTTGAGCACTGCAATGCATCTCTGGTGTTGCGGATAAACAGGTGATGTTAGGAGCATCCTTAATTAGTTATTATCTAAAGGGGATTTGTGAATGAGATTAAAGTTCATGTTTAATTCATCGTACCTGAGATTTGACAATGGTGCTGAAGTTGCACCCACTACGAGAAGTTATATTACATGGAAAAAGACCAATGGTGAAGATGCAATGATGTTGATCATGATGATGATTTTGACAGTGATGATGATGAAGACGACGATATTGATTATGTTGCAACTGCTAACCTGCTGCTGATGTTACTGATGATACTGTAAGTTATTTATTTATCCTGTAAAGCCCCACTGAGCATAAACACTCTTTTTAATGAGTTTTTGCATGTGTATAGAAACCAGAGTATCCAGGGAAAGCTTATTCTTAAGAGGCAATTACAAACAAACGTTCGCACATGAGTTCACATACCCAATTGTTGTTACTGCAATGCCCTGAGCAGCTCACAGCCCGATTCACAAATAGTCGTGATCCCAAAACCCTTGCCTCAAAAACACTTGGCCATCTCAATTTCCGCTACCTGTTGGGATGACCACATTTGTTTACTTTTTTTAATCAGTTGGTGGTCTTAAGTAATAACGCAGCCACAAATTTGGCTACGGAGATGGTGGTCTGTACAAGGCTGAGAGCGACGTGCATGCAATGTGGTGATCACGTGACATGCAACGCTTGATGAGAGTTATGCCTCCCAGATGTTTGTGAGCAGCACACCTTTGTTATAAAAAAAAACCTGATTACCAGCCTGCGTGCATTCTGTTGCTGATGGATTTTCTCATCATTTACACAAAGTGTTGAATCTGTATGAGAACTGTCTTCTTTAGGCAAATGATATTGAGGGTCCCGTAGCGTAATTCCAAGTCATCGTCACATATGCAGTTCCCACAGACATATATCAAACATTAATGGCTGTACTTCACAGTTTTAATGAGGCTATCCCAACGGGCAACTATTTTAAGTTTGTGGTCTGGACAAGTCTGAGAGTATTATAGATATAGTGGGGTGGTCATGTAACATGCATGTGAGGCATGACGGGAGTTATGCCTTATAGCTGTTTGTAATAACACATGCGTTGTTGAATCAAACAGTTGGATCATATGCATGCACAACTGCACCCGCCTACAGCAGCCACTGTTGCTCATGATGATTTATGCTGTTGCTGACAATATTTCAGCTGCTGTTGCCGATGAAGCTGCTAATCTTGCTGCTGACGACGGATGCTGATGAATATGATGCTGTTGCTGCTCTGTCTACTGCTGATATTAATAATTATGATGTTGCAACTGCTGCTGCTGATTGACGATCATGCCGTCGATGCGAACGACGACGATGAAAACATAATTTAGAGTGTCACTCGATGCTGCGGATGATTGTAACAAGATTATGATAATGACCTTGAAGATGGTAATGATGGTGATAATGATGATGCCATGGCTGCTGCTGCTGATGATGATGCTGGAGCTACATTGCTCGATGTAGGGAAGCTATGATTCACCCACTTGACAATTTTATGAAAATAATCAATTGTTTTTTTTATATCTCATTTTTTACGTCTCATTTAATGTCTGTTCACCCTGTTGGCCTACATATATATAACATTAGCATGTCATTACACAAAATGTGCATAAATTACAAATAATTGACTTTCGCACGTATGACTCGGTGCAAGTGCATTGTGATCATAACAATGGATTTCAATCAAATGATGCATCATTACATGCTAGGCATGCATATGAAAATCACTCGCTTACTAATTATGAATACTATATGCAAATGCTATGCTATTGTTACATCTGGGCTAATAGAAGCAAAAAAAGGAGTGTAGAAACGAGACTCGAAAACATGCGAATTTGTCAAATTTGAATTATGAATCAAATCGCCACCCCAAATCGTGATATTTAATTGAGTTGCTGGAGAGATGCATTGTTATACATCGAATGCCTAAGAGCGAGCAAGAAGCCTTTTTGCATTTAGCTCTCACCGTAGCTCAACAGTCACGGCGTCCTGACTTGAAACCCAACGGCTTCCAGTTTCAGACCCTTGTGGGCCACATACCTTGACATTAAAATTAACTACAATCATGCAATGACGTAAATGTTTTATTGTTTTGATTATGATTTTTTTTAAATGCCAGCCAGGCTCCTGAACCTCCAACCTTCATCTTGCAGCGTGAGTAAAGCTACCTTTTGCCATGTAAACAAAGCATGACAATTAGTTCCTGGTTCAGCACAGTGGTGTGTTTGAGAGTAAACCCACAACAGTTACAATTGTAACTGAACTAGTAGTTAGTTTAGGTGACAAACCTTAATAATTGGCTGTGTCGGGTGGTGGCGGATTTAAAGACATTCATATTTCCACGATCTAACCCAAAAAAAACCTCTACTGTGGAGAATGATTTT